TTTCCTCTGCCAGGGGAATACAGAAAAATGCATTAGCCAAATCCATAACAGTAAAATACTGGAGGTCTGGTGACAGTGATGACAGCATTGTATAAGGGTTTGGGACTGGGAGACACTGAGTTAATGTTAAATCATTTATTTTTCTCAAATCATGGACCATTCTATATTTATTCTGACCTGTTTTTGGCACAGCTAGAGTGGGCGTGTTCCACTCTGATTTTGATGGCTCGAGGACTCCCACTTTCGTAAGTCCCTCTATCACCTGTGAGATGCCCTCGACAGCGTCTGGTTTGGCGGCATACTGCTTTATGCGAATCGGGCCTCCTGGCTTCATCTGTAAAGACACAGGAGGGAAAGAGGTGCACAATCCCACGTCCGTGGGACCTTGGGACCAAACTTCTGCAGGCACCTGTTTCAATATTTCATGAGTATCATCATGATCTGTCATGTGTCTACCATGATGTCTGGTCAATGTTTCGTGCTCCACTTCCCCTGTGTCTATCATATTTGCTTTTATTCTGTATGACTTATTTTCAATGCTGTACTCTACATGAGGGAGTTGGGTGTCAGACCAATCGTCAGCTTTTACCAGTCTCTTTACCATTGGACCTAAAGCTCTAGCCTCGTGACCAGGGTGTACAGCCAAGGTGATGTGTGGGACAGCAGAGGAAGACATGTAATACCACTCACACTGTTCAGGAAGCAGCCGTGTATGGGCCGCCACACCCTCAGGCCCAATATAAATGTAATCTGATTCTAATGTCCACCTATCACTTTCAATTTGTTTGAATTGTTCTCTGTACATTAAGTCTTGGTCTCTGTCATAGAATAATGTCAAGTGGGCAGGGTCCAGTGGGAGGTGGTAGGAGGCCAAAGAATTTATCCAGGGTTTCCACTTGAAGAAGACGGAATGCACCCCATTATTGTCCGTGGACTTGTTTTCTGGGTCCAGTCTCACCCAGTATATGTCTGCATACTGGTCTGGCATCTCTTCTCTCAGAAGCCAGCAGGAGTCCATCGATACACCGGTCACACATCTGTAAATTTGTCCCCCTGGAAAAGTCACTTGTAGACCATCCGGTCCACATAGAATTGACGCATTGGTTTTAGTCAATAAGTCTCTTCCCAGCAGGTTGACAGGTGTTTTAGGAGCATTTACAAAAGAATGCCACAGTGTCTGTGTTCCAATTTGTGTCTTTAAACGTTTAGTGAGTGGCAGTACCTCAGGTGTCCCAGAAAATCCAACCAGGGTGATGTGCTCCTCAGAGAGCAGGACAGGGCGTATCTTTGTATTGATGGTAGAGTAGGTGGCGCCAGTGTCCACCAGGGCCATCAGGTTGTCGTCCTCCACCCTTATGGGGAGCATAGGCTCTGCTGGTACCTTGTCCCCTGGATTTCCTAGGCAGCCCTAGTAAGATTGTTCATGTTCATACTCGCCCCAGTAGTTCCCATGCTGGAAATATTGTCCATCTCTCGGGGCCAGGTTGTCATTCGGAGCCGTCCATGGGGAGGGAGGGCCTGCGCGCTCTGGTCTGGGTCCCATTCCTCTCTGGGGGCCCCTCCCACGCACCATCTCAGGCGCTCCATGGTAGTAGGAGGCCTCTCCTTCAAAGGGGCAGTCCCTCGCCCAGTGACCGTGCCTGTAACAGAGGTGACACACATCCCTGCCCCCTTTCCAGCTTCCACCCCTTCTTCCTCCCCGGCCCCCACGCCCACCACCTCTGGCCCCTCCCCTTGTCCAGTCCTGTCGTGGTGGAGTGGGAAGTCCAGCAGGCATATTAGTCATCTGATTACTCGTTACTTTTTTATTCTGGGTGGCTTTATTTCTCGCTTCACTAAGCTGTAACTTCAAAAGTTGACAAGTCATATCTTCAACACTCTTTCTTTCTTTAGTTTTATTTTCAACATATCGCTTAATGTGAAAGATTAAATTTGTTTTCCATTGTGCTGAATCCGGGTTAATATTATCTGGGTTGTCTTCAATCTTTGAGCGTATTGTTTCTGGTAAACCATTCAAAATAGCTGTTCTAAACGGCATGACTTCACTGACCTTGTGAGGGTGTCTTCCTACTGTGTCCATCCACTTGGTCACACTCCTGTCATAAAATACAATTGGGTCCTCAGACTCCAGCCAAGTTAACTCACGAGGGGCAGAAGACAGCGGGGTTGGAAAGTTTTCCCTCAGTGCTTCGTACCAGGCATTTGCATACTGGCCAAATCTGGAAGAATCACAAACATCAGCAGTACCAGCTTGTCTTTCAATAGCGTCTCTCTCCCATGGTTTACTGCATGCTGCCATCACTGCCCGGACGTCACCCATCGCCACATCATGACCTGTAAACCATGTGTTGAGACTGGAAATCCAGTTTCCAGCTCCTTGACACAATGGAGGCATTTTGTCTTTTATAGTCTGCATGTCACTTACAGAAAAAGGATGGTACTCCCCAGCTGCGCCTCGTCCTGGTCTCAGAGGGAACATGGATTTTGTCTGAGACCTGGTTCTGCTTGCCACCGGTCTAGTTTCTCCAGGCTCCTGGTCTCCGTCATCACTACTATCGTCAGAAGAGAATTTAGCTCCTTTTTTAGCCTGTTTAGCTTTACCGTCTCCCTTGTCACTCTCACTGTCCGTCCTAGTCATGGCTCTGCGTGCGGCTTTATTAATTAATTTTGCATTCTCCTGTCTAGCGGTCTCGTAATCATGGGTCCTACTTGGGGTTTCTTCTCCCTCAACTCTGTCTGCGGTGCATTCAGAGGTCGGTTTCCTAGCTCTAATATTTCTGAGAGAGTGCAGGAGAAGCTCCTGCACCTCTTGAATGGGTGGGGGTTGGTGAGGGGTGTGTGGGAGCTGTGGCGGGAGGCTGACAGCTGGATTTTGACTCGGATCTCTATTGTCCCCCACAGACTCCTGTTCTGTCCCTTCGTCCAATTCACTGTCTACAAAGTCATTGTCCCCTCTCTTTCCTACCGCCACTTCTCCTGAAAATGTATATTGTGGCAATATTAGATTTGGCTTACCTGGTTCTAAACCTAGAGAGTACTTTGGTGGAGCCGTGGGTAGGGATGGGTATATATTACTCACCGGCATTGCTCCGTTTTCTGTTTCCTTGTCTTTACTTACCATAGGTAATTTTGCCAACGCCGTGGCAGCCAAAGCAAAATTATGTACATTGGTCCTCAGTTTCTCAGCCTTTTTTAGTTTCTTTTTAATTTTTCTACACTCATTCCAACTCTTTCCCTGCTTTCCCTCAAGCTCTTTTAAATCCTGTTTTAGATTATTTTCCTCTTCCCGCAATATCCTAGCTAATGCGGACGCTGTCATATACTCAGGTATGACCCTTTTGTTCTGTATTTTTTCCCATGCTTTCACAGCCTTTCGTTTTGCCTTGTTCCTATATTTTTTATCCAGACCACTCAGAATCTGAGCCTCTATTTCTCTATAGAGCTGCTCGATTGGAATGCCTGTCTCCATTTTTCGGGGGGGCCCAAAATTCCCCCAGGTTCCAATGGTGTAAACCTAACTTGTGTGTTGACGCGTCCGTCAACCACGCTAGTCACAGCGGGCTTTCCTGTTTCTGGCAAGGCTTCTCAAAAAATCTTTACTTTTAATGTATTCTCGCAGGGTTCTAGCTACTTAGACTCCTATTTTATTTAATTTTAACGTATTTTCGCAAGGCTCTCACTACTTTTTAGGCTTTTACTATTTTTACTTTTTGAATTAGCTCCTCCGTGGACAAAACTCCTCTCCCCTTAATTTGTGTAGTCCAATATGCAGATTTTTAATTAGTCAAAAGGTATCTGCTTACCTTCAAATCAGCGGCCGCTTTGAGGAGAGATGTAGAGTCCAGGGATAGGTTGAAAGTCATCAAAAGGGATCACGTCGGGGTCACCAATTATTATATTAAAAAATGACGTGTTCAAAATCCCTTATAAAGATGACCATGATTCAGAAAGTTAAATTCAAAAAGGTTTATTTCCCTAATACAAAAAGAATCTAACACAACGACCTGGACCAACTTTAACTATCCCTTATTCCCTATATAAAGTATAAAGTATGATTTTGGTGGGGCGCTCCACGCAAACTCACACTGCTGTCCCTGATCCAGTCTAAAAAAACTCTAACTCACACATTCAAGCTATTTCCTTAAGTAAAATGTGCAGGAAGAAGGGGCGTGGTATCAGCCAGCTTCCGGGGTCCCGTGGTCCGCCTCCCTCCATCTGTCTTCTCCCGTCTGCATCTGAAAAAGAATCCATTGCCTCTCTAGCCTAACGTCTCTGGTCCAGCTGTCTCTTAGTCTGAGATCCATCTCTGTGGTCTAAACAAGTGGTAGACTAGCAGGCTCCAGTGTCATCCCACTCCTGATGGAGTGGGTTTAATAATGCAACAGTCAGCCAAAATCCAAACAGAAGAACCCATCTGTCATTTAGCAGGTCCAAGAAGACCCCTAAAATTAACTTAAAAGGACTGGCCTGCCACTCAGAGGTCGATAGACATTCTAAAACACATGGTTTTAGAATGTCTCTTAGTTATAAATACAACACCAGCTACAGAGCAAAGTAAAAACATATCTTGTGCGTAATAAAGAAGCGCATCTGACTATAGCTAAATAAAAATGCAAGAATTAAGGATAACATATTTTACTTTTTCAGAATAACAAAGTAAATATAAGATCTCAAACTTTAGCATAAGGAAATAGCCAACTTTAGCATAAGGAAATAGCCAACTTTAGCATAATAAAGAAGCAATCTCTATATTTAGCATAATAAAAAAGCTCCTTAAAGAAATTGTCTTCCTAATAGAAAATTGAAAAATAGAAAGAAGAAAGAATTGCAAACAGTGATTGGTCAACAAAGTCAAACACTTGTTTTGTCTGCAACATCTGCCCTCTGACCACAGGTTGAAGAACTTGTGAACATAGAGCCTGTATGGGGGATTGCATGTAGCTCAAAGGGGAAATGAAGGAGAGTCAGACACTCACTCGGGAGTAGTATATTGAGCCGGATCAGGAGGCGCAGTGCAGATCAACACGGCTTTGACCCCAGGGGCTAATCACAATTTTACAGCATCCCCGCGGCCGGCTGCAGCTGACCCCCAGGCAGGGCTGAAGGCCGTTCCCAGAGGAGACTATGGGAGGAGCCAGTGTCTTCATGAGACCGCCACAACATTGCTTTAATCCACTCTAAAGAACACAGATTACTGCTTCTACTGTAGGGAGTGAAAAGTGATGAAAGAGAAATTAAAAAGATTATACCCTTTTTTATCTCAAACTCATTTTAATTTTGTTTAATTCCAGAGAAAATATGTTGAACTCAATTCCGCCAGTGTGCCTTGAGATGTTGTTTGGTGTGCTTTTAGAAATATTTCAATATCACTTATTTGGTTTAAAAGAATGTGAAAAGAAAATATTAACAGAACAAGTGATTTTATGTTCTTTGCAATCGCATAGCTGTGTTTGCTGAAAGTAATTTTCAAATTTGGGGAGAAAAGTAAAAATCGAATCATCTGGTGGTTTCATAAGTAGTTTTCTCTCTTTCTTTTCTCACCCTTCATACTATACTAACCTGATATTTTCTATAATATCAACACATTCACACTCACATTTGTACATAATTGTGAAACGTGTGCTCCCACTTGAAATTCCTTAAAGTGTTATAGGAGGATTTTTGCAAATTTTAGGAAAGAACCGCCCTCTTCACTCGCTGGTCTTTTTTTCCGAGCACGTACCACCAAAATGATTCACAATGTGGAGAACCAATACTCTTAAAGTAAGCTGAAGCTGCAGTAGTCTTTTTGTATTTGTTTTAATGTGCTGCTCAAACGAATTGACCCTGGTGGGACAGATAAAGTAGTCTAAATCTGAGTAGTAGAAAATCCTCCATATGTACCTTTTTAATTTACAAAAAAAGAATAACAAAAGCAAGCTACATTAATCACAACAATGTAATGTCCTGCTCAATGTTAGTGGTTGGACATTATTGCTAGTAGGTATTCAAATTCTTAAAATGTTCCACAACAACATCCCTTTCAGCAAAATGTGATAAATCATCTAGTAGGGGTTTAATTTAACACATCTTGTTTTTTTTTTTTTTTTTTTTAAAGCAGTGATCTTTCAGGGGCCACCGTCGTCATCCCGAGTTCAACGCCAAGCTTCACGTTCGGCAACTTTGCTATCTAGCCGTGATCTTACTTCTCTTTTTAGCATTTAAGACGAAGCATCTTGCCATCGCCGGCGAAGGTTAATACAGCGGGTCAGTCCATTCTCCGAGGAGGAAATTAAACATTGGGAATAAGCCTTGAAAGACCTGGGTGCCTGGCTCCATTACTTATATCCCATAATACATCTTTGTATTTCATTATATCCTCACGCCTGCTGTGTCCCAGTAAGCAGTCCAAGAGTCAAATACAAAGATAGGAGCTACTAAGCAAATAGGTCCCTATGCTGTGGCTTTTCATTCGAGCCCTTTTTTATTTTATTTTCCTCACTCAACCAATCGCAGAGAGAGTGCATGAGAGCATCCTCTTTTCTTCCCCCGAGGGATAAAAGTCACCTTCTCCAAATCTCATTGAACAAAAGTCACAAGGAAAATAGGAAGCTAAACTCTACACTGCCGAGCCGAGCTTAGAGAGGACATGGTTGCCCCTTTTCTTTACTTATCTCATTGTCAGCAGCGAGAAGAAGTGATGAGCTGAGGTGGTACAAAGTCACTGTTAATCACTGCAGAGGTACAGTATTGGAACCGATCAGGGTTGGAGAGATCATTGGGAAACGCCAGTCAAGACCAATGGGCATTAAGTGGGTCTTTTCTCCTTCATACGCCGTTCTTTAATTTGCAGCAGCCTCATTTAATAAGCATGAACATAAAAACAGGGAGGCAGCAGTAAGTAATCAACCACTGATGGTGGAAAGTGCAGCGTGAAGCTCAAGTACTTTGTTTCTTATTATTTGGTCAGTTTTATTTCTGTCTCAAGAAAGGGCAAAGTAACTGCTGGACCATGTGATCGAAATGAGTCAGCGACATATAGTGTTTAAATTCAAACTATTTACTAATAATTATACTATATTGGTTGGCTCAAAGACGCCTCATATGTCATTATTCATTCACTCCATACACAATGGTGATAAACTACTACTGTAGCCACAGCTGCCCTGGGGCACGGTGACAGAAGCAAGGTAACAAGCAGATGCCCTCGGACCAACACCAACCATTCACGCACAATTTAAATATTTAAGAGCCATGTGAGTTCTCGAGTAATGCCCTCAGCACAAACCGAGTAGTTGGAAGAGAGGCGCATGATCAGAGTGTGTTTGGGCCTGTGTCATGTCCGTGTGTGAATGAGTAAGAGTGGTTGGAGCCCAATGAGCGTCTCCTTCGTCCAACCCTCCTTCAGATTGAATTTCTGTTTTTTTTAAATAAAGATTAGAGAACTATAATTAAAATAACTATACAAGGTTTTGAAGCAATGAGTGGATTGAATTGGCAAAAAAAAAGAAGCTTTGAAGACGGATTTTTGCTGCTGTATAGATGTTGCTTCCACATTTCCACATATGATGCTGTCTATTTTATGAAGTGCAGCAGTTTCTCCTGCAGCAAAGATAAGATAAGAGATCCTTTATTTGTCCCGGAGTGGGGCATATTAGTGTTGCTGTGCACATTAAAAGAAGCAGTCAAACAAGATCAAATAAAACAATACATTGCTGTGATATTTAGAGGGTAACACAAATCTCTGTGCTTACAGATCTTAGCCGAGTAAAAACCATCACTACACATAACAAGAAGAACTACACAATGTGAGACTGCCAGTGTTGAAACAAAGCCACAAGAAGCTGCAATGTGCGGAAGAAGATTATGCGGTCAGATGAGAAAATTAAATTCTTTGGCCAAATGCAAAATCCTTTGTGGTAAAAACCAACACTGCTCATTGCCCTAATCTCATCGGCTGAAATTCAGTGTTCTGGTTCTGGATTCAAATCCTGGTCAGAACTAACCTGGCCTTAGTCATCGGCACACTCCGGTCAATAATCATTTCCCTCCATTTAACGTCTGGGTCTGGCCCAGTCAAACAACTAAACAACCTAAATCAAATTGCTATAACAAAAAATAAAAAAATGCTCTATCTATTGTGATAGAATTGAGCTATTATGCATAGAAGACTAGTGAATACACTTCCTTAATAAACTGTAAAGCATTTTTCTCTTGCTTGAAATTGCATCAACCATGTTATGCTCTTTCACCAAAAAAATTTTTAAATTAACTTTATATTTGTCATTATGTATGGCAAAATGTGGGCCAGTGGTTCTTTGGGTATGATTTTTTTTCAAACCACTGTATATTCCGTGTGTATAGTTTACACATTTTTATGCTTTAGAAACTCTTCAGGTTTATTCGTACTTCATGCCGAGTAGGTTGTAAATTATTATCCAGTCATTACACGCTGTCAAATTGAGAAATATTCTTCATCTGTAGACTATCTTGCCTACTTTACATTCCCCCCTCACTTTTTCTCCTCTTGCGCATTGTGTCTTGAATGAAGCTTTGCATGGACTGAATCAGGTCACCTAAATCATTGATGGCACACAAGAGGCATGAAAATTCTAAAAAGAGGATCTGTAATAAGCTCCCCTTATCGCTGCTACTGATGTGTTTCGATTGACAGGTATTTATTTCTCAAGGGCTTCTCGGGAAATGATCATAAATGAATTTTTCGACAAGACAGGTCCCAGCTGCTTTTCAAAAAGCTCTCTTTTAGTCCTAATTCCCATCTCTCCGGTAACGTAATTGCATTGTAAACCGTCAGTCTCCTCATTCAGCTACTCAGTGCTTATTTATTGACCTTAAAATAGATTTACTTTCTTAATTAACAGACAGGACCTTTAAGACAGCAATGTAAAAATGTCAGAACTGCCAATAGGCATTTATTTGAGGTTGAAGGTTACTCCTCTATGTCTGGGTTACCTTGGGAACGGTTCAGCTTGATTGACAAGTGCCATTATTTGATGTTTGTCACCAGGTTCAAGTGTTCGTAAATGACATATCACACACGACATTCCTATTTTAGTAATTTTGCAGTAACTGGGAACTTGTTTTTCATATTCTTATTCCTGCAGATGGTGCCATTATAAATTGTACACAGACCCTGGGAGAGACCATAGTAAAGTGAATAAGAAACTTAAACATTGAATGAAGGGTGGAGATGCTCTGAAGTTTAGAGCAGTCACCAGCATTTTCAAAATGTTGAAGGTCACATATTCTAAGCATAATTCTTTGCGGAATTCAGTATTCCATTTCAGTGGCTGGATTTGGATAGGAATATAATGTGAAAAATTATAGTGCATCAGTTTTATAAAGCGCTTTTTTGGACACTCGAAGACTCTTTACATGACAGAAGCGAGACAACCAGTAAACCAGAAGTCACAAGCTGGGAATTTGCTTTGGCTCAAGGTGCAATCAAGTTGAAAGAATAAAAAAGTAAAGTCATGCATAAAAACATCTTAATAACATTTCTTAAAATCACTACAAAGTACACACAATAGACGTTTAGCAGTGCAGTAAGTGACTATCTATCTGTCTATCTATATGTTTTACAGCAAGTCCAAGTATGGGGTAAGTCATAAAGTCGTCTGTGCCACTGATGAAGGTATAAACATTTTGGGTTCTCATAAACGTATTGAGACAGTAATTTTGTTTTTAATTATAAATACAGTTTAGTAAAAAACAATTCAATAATCCCTTCTTTAAAGAGCAACAAATCTACTGACTTCCACTACTGCAATTGAAGTCGAGAAAAAGTGCATCTTCTACCATATCTGCATCGGCTAAGTGCTCCTGAACTGACTAACATACAAACTAATGGGCTTAAACAAACTTGTAATAGTTTTAAAACGTGTTAAAAATGCAAAAAATTAAAAGAAAAAATAAAGAATACAAACATATGACAAGTGGGAAAGGTGCATACACAAAATATGACATTGGATTGTTTTTTTTTATCTGACAAATCAATATTAATTCTTTAGACAAAATGCAGTGCACCTGTGAAAATGGTGGTGGTTTGAGTTGACTGTCTGTGACAAAGGGGTGTTGTAAAGCTGTGTGAATGTGGTTCTATATTGTTGATTTTGGGAGTAAACCTCTTGACTCCTGTTGGGTCCTTTGTCCTCTAGTGTCCAGTGCAGCAGAGGAGCAGGACTGATGATGAAGAGCAGTTCTAGTGTCCTCTCGATCCTCTCCAGCTCGCAGCCAATCACACGACCCGCGTTCAGCTTGTCGTTCCGGCCAAATGCCCTCAAGTTGTTGCCGCTTAAAACAAACTCTGAATTGGAGCAAAATTAATCATACAAATAATATCCAAAATAATATACAGAAAATCAATGTTAACTCAATCTTTTTGTTGAAGAAAAAACAACACATTTTCTTTTCAAAGTTGTTTTAAGTTTTGAAATATTTGTGAGCAGGTATTGATAATTTGACTTGAGGATATTTTTTTTCCACACGCCACTTTAATCCAATGTTTGCTTTCAAATGCAGAGAAACAGCCCTTAACTGGAGTTGTAGCTGGAACGCGGCTCATTTACAAAGGAAATAGAAATGATTTTCACAAACACCTCAATGTCTCCTTTGTTTCCTGTCTAACGTCCGGACCTCGCTGCACCTTCTGTGTCTGTATTGTATTGTCTTGTCCTCTGTATGCCTCAACTTCTTTTTTTTGTTCTGTTGATTCAATCATTTCACACACAGTGGCTTAAAACAACTGTAGAGTGGTGTGTTTTGTGGTGAAGTAAAACAGAAAGTGACTATAGCTGCAAGCTCAGGAAAGAGATGGATACGGATACTGCACAAGACAAACTGACAAATGTAGAGTTATAGTGTAATTGAGCTGTGAGAGCGTCCTGAAGACATTTTGAAATACCTCTATTAACCAAGACATATAATAAAAATATACCAAAAACATTGCAGTGATGAGATGAAGAGTCCAACAATGCAGTTTGTTGTTCCGTCTCAGAGCCTCTTTTACAATCTATTCATGCTCTGTGCAGTGGAGTGATTAGACTTGCAGACACTCTGTTTACAGTTGTACGTTTGGGTCTGTAATGAGCTGACACTAACTACAATATTGTCCATTTAATGAGCTCATAAAGCTATATGCCAATGTTCAAGTAAGTAAGTAATCATTATTTATTTACCGCCTTTCACAGACCAGAGTCACAAAGCGGTTTACAGTTGTTATTTTTTTGGGCATTTGTCTCTCACTCCACACAGAGATGGGAGCTGGGTTGCCAGTACATGAGGCGCATGCCAGACATATTGTACATGTTTTTAGTGGTAGGAGAAACCGGAGTACCCGGAGAAAACCTACACAGACACGGGGAGAACACGCAAACTCCATTCAGAAAGGCCCTAGTCCGACCGGGATTCGAACCCAGGACCTTCTTGCTGAGAGGCGAAACTGCTAGCCACTCAGGCACGGGCAGCACGGTGGCTGAGTTGAAATGGGAAAAAAGGGTCTGAGAGCCTACAGAGCTTGCCAGAAAAGCAAGAGAGGAACGTTTCTGTAAATTCTATACCAAAATATAAAGTTTAAAATGTTGTTGTCACGTGGGTAGTGATGTGCTGAGGGTGCCGGGTCTTCGAAGCGTGTACCGAGTAAAAAAGGGGCGTATTTTTTGAAGCGTGGTTCGAGGTGTGTGTTGGTGACGTATGTGGTGACGTTCGAAGCCTCGTGTAGCGCCCGCACCACGTGACGGTTCATATAGTACTTCATATAGTTCGGAGAGTGCATTGCTTTGACAGGTGCTTTGTGATCCGCGGCTGTACCATAGACTGTATTGGCTGTCCCCGTCTGCCTCTGTGTGCGTACGTGTGTGTGTGCGTGATGTGGAGCAGTCCTGTACTAAGAAACTACTTCATATGAAATACAATTAAAAACGTTTCACTTCAGTAAAACCTCATATATCAAGGCTTCAAGTTATTAGTAATAATACGCTGGACAATATATTTCTGACCAGCTGTGTGGCGCAGTCGGTATATGACGGACTCCGAAGCAATAGATATAGTGTTCGAATCCCGGTCTACCCATAATACATTTTGTGTTGCAAAGTAAATGTATTTATTTATTGGGAATAAATAGTTTGTTGTGTTTAATTAATCCACCACTTGGTAGTTTTTCCTCTTCATCACTTTCTGTAGAACTGTATTACTTTGGATGTGTTTGTTGTATCAACACAATTGACTGAAAGACTCAAATAGTTCATAGTTCATGAAGCATCATTTCAAACACAACACGTTAGACCATAGATTGTAAATATACATTTTAACATTAGATCTCACCATTCATTGTAAGCACTTGAGTGTTATGTATTTCTTTGTCCACATGATGGCGTAGTGGAGCATGATTCACCTCGAGCCTTCGACTCATGGGCCGAGTAATAGGCTGCTATCCCTCAAGGCTTCATGGGGCTTCATATTGCCATCACTACACGTGGGTGAAAAACAAATGAGGCCCAAAATGCAAAACTGCAAAAAATAATGGATTTAATAAAAAGATAAAACAAATCCAAAACAAAGGGAACGAGGACAGAACTAAAACAGACGAGGGATGACAATGACGGAACAGGGAGTGAAGGAACACACAGGGCTAAATACAAGACTAACGAGACACAGGTGAGACAGATGAGGGCAGGGCAGGTAATCAGACAACAGGAAGTACAACCAAAGAAGACACAGGGATAACACATTTCAAAATAAAACAGGAAATAAACTAAAACCATGACAGTTGTATGTGAATTATTTTGATATCCAAAACATCAGATTCCTTAACTGGTTGTAATGTGTCTCAGTCCCCGTTCTACAGCCTGGGTCCTGAATCTACAGCCTGTCCATCTGTGAGCGACGATGCCTCTCTATGTGGGCTTCCCTGATGTTTCTCACTTGTTCCCACTAGGTTTTTGAGTTGTTTCTTGCAGATGCAGGAAGGTCTAAGGACAGTGGTAATGATTTGGGACATTAAAGGACAATTATAGATATTAATTGACACTTTTGGACATTGGTCTTTTCCTACCTATGAACCAATGGCTCCTATGTATTTGGGCTATACAAAAATAAATGTAACTGAATAAGTCGAGTGTATACTTAACTCTGTATACTTAGCTCTCAAAACGTTTTGGTTCTGTCACTAGTTTTTCTGGCCTCTATCACATCTTTCAATTATCGTCTGGAGTAAGAATATATAGTACCAGCCCTTACTCAGCCAATCACCTCTCAGTATGCAAAAGATTATTATTACATTTGAAAGGTTTTCAAATATGGTAAAGACATAATGTTGTGACACAATGTATTTATGAAACAATCAAAAATGTTAGGTACTATAGCTTGAACCAACAAAAGTTAAGTATACTTAGTGCACTTAAAATACTAGTGCACTTACTTTTACACCTTGTTTGCACTCAGATCCAAAGCAATTTCCTGGTTCTTGACTTCCTGTATACACACAATGGCAAAACAAATAAAATAAATCTGATTCTGAAAAGACAAACATAGTTCTTGTTTTGTTTTCTTTTAAATCCACAAACTCTTTTCGTTCCTTCTACATCTAGGACGTCCTCCTCCGCAGCAGACAGCCTTATGTTCCAGGGACAGCCTCAGTCCCACACACTCTGCCTCCAGCATGTCCCCGATCTTCCCAAACCTCCTCCCAGTGGGACAGACACTCCCAGCAGAGGCCTCCAGCAGCTCTGGCTTCTGTTCGACAGTAGGTGACAGAGCATCGATCACACATTAAAATGATCACTCAGGATATCCTGTGGCTTCATTTAGAAAACACAAAACAAGGCCTGACACACGATTACAAGTCCCTGCATCAAACACCAGTGTACGTACCAATGTTTCACCTCTGACATACAGAACAAACTTACTCATTTAACCCTTGTGTAGTGTTCAGATTGTTGTTACTCAGCTAGTGTTCGTGGGGCTGATGGACCCGTTACATTGTGTGGCTTTTAATGCCTCACAGTCACACATTTATGTTAAAATACTGAACAGATGTTTACCTTATCCCAATTACAAGCAGTATAAACAATATTTATGGTTAATACTTGTCCATATTGTCTACCCCTCCTTTTGTGTTATTGTCCATGATGATCTCTGGTTTGTGATGTTCCTGGTCACAGATTCTTCCATCCTGTGCAGTGTACTCATAGTACCACATTCTTCTTTGTGGTACTTTGCCTTTCTTTGGCACATAGGATACCAGTCGTTTGCTGTATGCTGTATGTACTCGAACGGGATTCTGCATCCTCTGTGGCTGCAGCGTTCTGACCCGGGGCAGCTGTGGCCACTTTGTAGCAACAGAGCTACAATTATAGTGTCCCGCCTCCAATTCGTAGCAGATAGAGAGTGAGAAAATAAAGATTCCTGCAAGACAGAGGGTCAAATGTGCGAGAAAATGAGAGCACACAGCGTTGACAAACAATGTTGGAATCTTGTCTGGGAACTGCTTCTTTTGTGTTGCACCTTCGCATTTGATCCTCTGATGTTCTGTGTACCTACGCTGTGTCCACCTCCTGTCTAGGCCTGGTGTGTGTGTTTTTGTTTGTGTCTGTGTTTTTGATTTTGTTTGTGGGTCGGGGTGGGGCAAGGTCAATTTCCACGCTTCTATTTGCCCCAGGTCCAGTGGACCCCGAACATCTTCTATATAATAGAAATGTGTACGGGGGGTGTACAGTGTGTGGTCATTAAATAAGAATTCTGATATATGTTCTTCACAGAAAATGAGCCAAAGCCAGTGAGTTTGAAAAAATAATTAATTGTATCATTTTTCTTTTAATAAAAAATGAAAACGGGTCCCACACCCGAACACCACACAAGGGTTAAAGCTTGAGAACCTAACTTTGTGTCCACTGTCACTTTGCTTAGTCACTTTGTCCCATACACTTACAGTGCCTTGCAAAATTATTTGGCCCCCTTGAACCTTTCAACATATATAAGATATAAAATTTTAATTTTTTGTCATGAATCAACAACAAGTGGGACACAATCGTGAAGTGGAACAAAATTCATTGGATAATTTAAACTTTTTTAACAAATAAAAAACTGAAATGTGGGGCGTGCAATATTATTCGGCCCCTTTACTTTCAGTGCAGCAAACTCACTCCAGAAGTTCAGTGAGGATCTTTGAATGATCCAATGTTGTCCTAAATGACTGATGATGATAAATAGAATGCACCTGTGTGTAATCAAGTCTCCGTATAAATGCACCTGCTCTTTGATAGTCTCAGGGTTCTGTTTAAAGCGCAGAGAGAACCATGAAGACAAAGGAACACACCAGGCAGGTCCGAGATACTGTTGTGGAGAAGTTTAAAGCCGGATTTGGATACAAAAAGATTTCCCAAGCGTTAAACATCTCAAGGAGCACTGTGCAAGCAATTATATTGAAATGGAAGGACCCGGCCGTCCCTCCAAACTATCATCTCAAACAAGGAGAAGACTGATCAGAGATGCAGACAAGAGGCCCATGATCACTCTGGATGAACTGCAGATAACTACAGCTGAGGTGGGAGAGTCTGTCCATAGGACAACAATCAGTCGTGCACTGCACAAATCTGGCTTTTATGGAAGAGTGGCAAGAAGAAAGCCATATCTCAAAGATATCCATAAAAAGTCCTGTTTAAAGTTTGCCACAAGCCACCTGGGAGACACACCAAACATGTGGAAGAAGGTGCTCTGGTCAGATGAAACCAAAATCGAACTTTTTGGCCACAATGCAAAACGATATGTTTGGCGTAAAAGCAACACAGCTCATCACCCTGAACACACCATCCCCACTGTCAAACATGGTGGTGGCAGCATCATGCTTTGGGCCTGCTTTTCTTCAGCAGGGACAGGGAAGATGGCTAAAATTGATGGCAAACGCTCTCCATCCCACCTCACTGAGCTCGAGCTGTTTTGCAAGGATTGGGCAAGAATTCCAGTCTCTCGATGTGCAAAACTGATAGAGACATACCCCAAGCGACTTGCAGCTGTAATTGCAGCAAAAGGTGGCGCTACAAAGTATTAGCGCAAGGGGGCTGAATAATGTTACACGCCCCACTTTTCAGTTTTTTATTTGTTAAAAAAGTTTGAATTATCCAATACACTTCGTTCCACTTCACGATTGTGTCCCACTTGTTGTTGATTCTTGACAATAAATACATTTTTTATATCTTTATGTTTGAAGCCTGAAATGTGGCGAAATGTTGAAAGGTTCAAGGGGGGCGAATACTTTCGCAAGGCACTGTATGCTGCTAACATGTACAGATGTATACATCCATCCATCTTCTTCCCCTTAATCAATTTCTAGGTTAGTGAACCCAGTTCACAGAGCACCAGCCCCTCACTGATCCTCCTGCAGGTGTGAGTCCACAGCTACTGTATATGTATACATCCACAGATGTATACATATAGCTATATATGCATTGCACTAGTACAGTATATACATACAATGTGTGTTATTGTTATATTATTATTATTTGAGCTTGAAAAAACTTTAATTCTACCTGCATTTGTATATAAATTGAAATCTTATCATCACACTAAAGATGAAGCTTTTGTACGATGACCATTTTCAATTATAATTTCATTTTGATGATCGAGTGTTGAGCGAATAGGATTTACTGGTTCAACATTAAATTGTAAAGCCTTGGTCTGTGTGACCTTGGTCTGTGGAGTTTTATAAATGAAGATTACTTTCTTACTTCTATTCTTAAATTTTTTGGTTTTGGTCATGAACCTTTTCTTGTCTATTTTTTCCATATTATTATTTTACTTTAACAACAAATTACCTCAATTCAAAACAGTAATAATTGTCAAATGCAAGGTTTTTCAGAAAACTGCAGAAACACGTGAAAAGAATCCATCCATCGACCTATCAGGCTTTGACCAATCATCTTTACTTTTCTTTGTTGCCGGGCTTCTTGACCCTCGGAAGACTTCACAAGTAGAGCTTTATACATCTGTTAGGATTATAGCCCATTGAAGGTTTCCACTTTCGCCTATACAGCCTGTCGCCTCCCTCCGCTGCCCCTGTATCATTATCCCTGAGCACCGGCTGATTCAATGAAATGAAGTCCTGCCTGGTATTTCCACTGGTTGATGGGTTAATCTACCCCCACCCCCAACAGCCCACCTTCCCTCGGCGTCTTATCAGCTCACCCAGGTGTAGGGAATGGCCCACTGCACGCTGCTCTGATTGTAATGGGAGACGGTGTTGTGTGCTCAGTCACCCAGCTGGTTAACAGATGCCGTGCTTTATCTGGAGTCTGGAGTAGCTGTCATTGGGAGTCTCCTGAGTGAAAGTGCACATACAGTGGTGGAGGACAGTCAGCCGCCGTCGCAGGGATTCACAAACTCACTGTCGTTGTCCTGATGCCGAGAGAGAATGATGAAATATGAAGCACTATGTTTTCTCCTAAAACGTGATCTTGATCCTTTATGTTGGCATTTCATGTTTTAGGGTGGAATAAAAAGTATAGAGCAGGGGTCTATACCCCTTTCCAGGTAGCTCGCCACGCCGTTCCATGTAGCTCACCAACCCCTTTCCAGATAGCTCGCCACCCCGTTCTATGTAGCTCTTCCTTCACCAAACATTTTTGAAATAACTAAAATGATAATAATAATGCAACAGTTTTATTTTGCGCTTTATTGGACACTCAAAGACACTTTACATCCATACAGGGTGTTGATAAACTAATTTTAGCTGCCCTGGGGCACACTGACAAAAGCGAGGCACCCAGCATGTGCCATCTGACCACCACCAGGCAATGTAGGTGAAACAGTTTGGCACTATACAGACGCAGCCGCCCCACTGTGGCAGAATTGAACACCCATCCACCCATTAATTTTCTTCCCCTTAATCCATTTCTGGGTCGGGGGGTGGCAGTCAGAGCTGCACCCAGTGCACAGAGCACCAGCCCCTCACTGATCCTCCTGCAGGTGGTGAGTCCACAGGAGCCTTGATTATTCAGTAGGGGCTTAAGGCCAACTGGGGTTAAGTGTCTTGCTCAAGGACACAACAACAGCAGTCATCAGTAGGAGTCGTTAAGTAGGTCGAACCCACGACCTTCAGGCCTACAGTATAGGCCAATGCTCTTCCAACTGAGCCACTGTCGTCCGTATTGAACATAACAAATAATAATATACTGCATTTTTCAGAATGTATTATTTATTATTATCATAAATACAAACTTTCTTTTTGCACAAGTCAAATGTACGTGATGATAAATAATGACTGCACATGATATCAGGCTAACTCTCAAAATATATCACTTAATTTTTAGGTTAGTGCGCCTAGAGATGTTGTTTGGTGTACCTTTTGGATCACCTAAATTGTCACATTGTCAAAAAAAATAATGCAAGACGATTAGAAAGACTTGTTTGATTGTCTATATAATACACTTAAACACTTAATACACTAATATAATACACTTAAACTTAAAATTTAAACTATACAATGGTTCCGCCCATGATACTGTAAGTCTTAGGACTCATACTATGTTTGAGATAGGAGCATTGAGACAAAAGGGGCAAAGGACAGAAGTTCCTGAAGGGACAGAAGTACCAACATGAGAATGCATGCATTCACTAAAACATGTCAGGTAATGAAATACTTCTCAGGTGAACTATAAGTCTTTATGTCGAGAAAAGTAAAACATAAAGTCATGACACACGTTACAACAAGGTGCAGTAACTTCACAAAAGATGGAATTCTCATTGTGAACTGTTGTAGTTTCTCTTCCCACACAACATTCTTCAATCTACACTTCCCAAGCTCAGAGGTTACAGTACATTCCATGGAGGGCAGCTTGTTGTTAAATGAGATCCAGTTAGGCCTCTGAGCAACTGAAAGCCCACAAGGAATGCACACACGCTTATCCTGGGGGAGAAATGAGAACGTTTACTACTTTTTTATCTTGTACTTTTTTCTATTGCTGGAGTACTGACACTGGTTCGGTGTCCAACACACTTGGTGAGCATGTAAGAAAATAGTGAAGATGCACTGCTATGCCCAGATGAATCCATCATTTTGAGCTATTCTTCTGCTCCTGCTGCTGGAAAGAATTAGACGGCCCATCCTTCATCTTCTGACTAAAAATAAACAAGTACAAACAAATGTGGCACTCTTCTTGTAAACTCTTGTATATACAGAGAAGTATTATGCTATATGCAGCATATTCAATGAAATGTTATTGGCTTCTCCACGGGTCAATTTTATTTCCCAGAGCTGCCTTATTTGTCATTCCACTACAATTTATCAGACAAATTCGAGAGAGGCCAAAAGAAAATTGAGATTAAAAAAGAAGGCGATATGACACACAGATTTCAATTCAGATGAGTGTATTATAGAGACCTGGTCAATATAAAGGCTGTAGGTGCCTGCTTTGTTTTGTGTTTAGTATGCCTACATCTTGGGTATGTAAGGTTAGAAATATAAATAGAGAATTTTGGCTGTTAATGGCCATATCATAAAACATGGTGAGGTCAGAATAGAAACAACTATTCTCATATTGCATAGAAAGTTTATTTTTCCCACGCACTGCACTCTTTTTAGCCTGGTCGTACCACACCAAAGTACAAATTACATTTCGTACTAAGGTCTTGAGGTGCTCCATTGAGCTCCATTAACAGGTGGGAGAGGTTAACTCCTTTTGCAGATTGAAACGATTGGATCTGAGTTTACCGTGACGTATGTAATGCGCCCGAGTGAGTCGTTAGCATTCAGCATTTAGCCTAGCCCTCTCCTTTGCCACTAACAAAGCCCATGGGGAGTAGTGCCACAATCTTTGCCAGCGATTACATTTGCTTACATTGTAAGCAATGTAAGCATTCGCCATTGCCAAACTACAACCTGCCGCCTCCCGCACTCGCCGATTTGTCGGATGGAATTCTACCGATGTAATCCCAAACACAGGGACCAGACCCAGATGTCTCATCCAGGGAAATTATTTTTTATTTTTTGGAGTGTACGGATGGCTAAGGCCAGGATACACTAAAAAAGAGGAGTTAAACGTATGTAAAAACTATCCGAGACGTTTTTCATAATTTTTTTTATAATGATCATAGTAACTTACTACTTACTATTACTTACTTATTGTTTGTTTGATCAATGCACACATCTAACAATCATATATTTCCTAATTTAATTGTTGATTCCCATATATAGAAATTAAATTGTGTCGTCTATTCTCTACCAAGTGACATATTGATTAGGACCTATTGATTTGTGGACGAATAAGGCAACTCCATGTGAGAACAAGAAAGATAAATAGTCAGATGTGAACTTTCAAAAGATTCTGGATTGTGCAGCCCACTTTTTGAGCTCCCACAAGGTCAAACAAGTATCTATATAGAAAAGCCTCTCCCACCTCCACAGCTTTATATCCTGACCTCTTTCCTATCTTTTCTCTAACGGAGGATTTAGTTGCATAAAGGCAGCAGCTGCAAGCACCAAACCTGTTTATTCCTCCACTTCCTCCCTCTCTTCCCCTCCCTGCCTTTTCTGATACCAGTGCCATGAAATCTACACAGCATTTCAGATTAAACCAAATGGAAAAATAAAGTTTCCCTAAGAACTGCTGTGCACAATGGCCGAAGTCCCATTGGAAAAACCAGATTCCTAACCAAGCGTGTCACTCAGGCAAACGTGCAAAGTCCTGCATTTTGCTCTCCACCACAATTGGGTGCCTTGCCAGGGCTTACCGGAAGTGTCAATAAGCAGCACTCTGATTGTCCTCCAACAAATGGGAAATCACAAGTTCTGGAGGGAGATTATGTGGATTACAAATTCTTAAGTGCTCATTTCTGCTCTCAGGTCAGCCAAGGTTGTGCTATATGTTTTCATCAGAAGCTATGGTCTTTATTGCTTGGTCGTATTCCAGAGATTAATTAAAGTAGCTCCAGAGGGGAAAGAGAGGCAGTATATGTGTAGCACTAAACTGGATGTCTATTGCACCGGGCAGAAAATCACATGGTAAAACAACCAAATTCCACTTCATGCAGGTCCAGTCCCCTGTTCTCCAACAGTTTTACACACCTGGGGTCAAATCTGGTCCAATTTGTGGTCGGATCAATACCCAAAGTTAATGGGAATAGTACACATTTACAAAGTATTTACAGTCCATGCAAACTTTAAATTGATAAAGGTAAAGGTAAAGGTGCACTATATTTATCCCCGTACTTGACATGTCCCGATGCCACTATCAGGAGCAGGGGTCGCCGTGTAGAGCGCCTGGGATGCAACTAAACAATAGACGAAAAAGCATGCATAAACACACTTACAACACATAAACACACGTACAATGAATGAAAGAATGAATATTTTATTTAAGTGTCATACACATACAGTATGTGCCCAGCCCTCATGGGCTTATATGACACTATCAACAAAAAGGAAGATATAGCCACACCTGTGGACAAAGATATTACTGTCTCTCTGGATATAAAGTCCTTTGTCTCAGTGTCCAGGCCTTTTCAACAAAGTTTGCCACTGCATAATTTTCAAATATCCAACACAGTCTATTACCATCAGAAAGCCAAAACAAATCAGGATTTTTACATTGAATCTTTGTGAACAATACCATTCTTAGGTCATTGCACATAGGACAGTAAAACAAAAAATGAAATTCATCCTCCACTACTCCCAGCTCACACAGAGCACACAGTCGACCATCCAGTGGAACCCCCTTGTAACGCCCCACCTCAACTCCTGCTCTGAGCTGAGCAAACAGAGACCTCTACCCTTTTCTCAGATTAGATTTTAAATACATTTCTGTGGAAAAACAGTTCTTAAACTGGACATAAGTTCTGAGCTTGGTTTTCTTCAAAACGTTAACTTTCCATTCTTTCTCATATATATCATTTAACATTTTCCTTAGAGTTGCCAATTTACATTGTAAATTATTTTGAAATAAGGGTTAGGGACAATATTTGCAGCACCTCTTTGGACCAGGGATGTCTGTGACTTCTGTCCCAGTTAAAAATCTTCTGTGTAATTCTGTCTTCTGGTAGACGGACAACTATTTATACTATAAGTACAAGTACATGCTAAGTAAGTACATGCCAAAGAAATCAGGTTAAAGTGATGTGGTGATGATTGTATATGACTTGATTAATTGGATGATTGTATGTACTTTGATAATCAGGCTCAGTTTTTCTGTTTACTCTTTCGTTATTTCATTGAAACAAGAAAATCTTTAGTGGACTTGTTCATGGTTGTATTTGTGAATATCTTTGGGCAAAGTCTTGTACGAATAGCTACTTTTTAATCTCATAATGCAGTGGCCGCTTCATATCACAAATAAAAATATGAATACACAATCTTTATTGTCCACCAAGGTGGAAAATTGTCTTCAGTTGTTACCATAAAATACATAAACAAATTTAAAAAACACACATCCAGCAACATTTCATCTGGCACTACATTCACAGTACAATTGGACACCAAAAGTAAGAACCAGCTGGGAACAGAATCCCGAACAAGGCCTCATCCAGCCTAAAGACAAGAGTCAACCTCAGGACTTCTCAGAGGTTAGGAATGTTTGCCGCTTTCACAGCTCTGGGCACAAAAGAGTTTTTAAAAAGGTTTTTCTTGGCTGATTTGACTCGATATCTCCGTCCTGACGGCAGAAGTTCAAACTTGCGGTTTAGCGGATGGGCAAAGATTACACTAATGTTTAAATTAATCCAGACCTTTTGACACTGTGATCCCTTTCAGGCTATTTTACCATTCACTCGTCCATGCTTGAGTATAACAACAAGGTGGTCCTGGGTTCGATTCCATGGCCTTTTTATGTGCGTAGGTTTCCTCAGGGTGCTCCGGTTTCCCCTACGACTAAATACAGATACAATAGGTCTGGTATGCTCCTCCTGTATGGCGACCGTGCTCCCATCTCTGTGTGGAGTGAGATGACAAACGCCAACATAAATTGTTAAGCGTTTTGAGTCAAAACAAATCAGCCTTAAATAAAGGCTTAAAACTTTTGACTCAAAGTCTGGGGCTGGTGCTCTGTGTACTGGGTGCAGCTCTGACTGTTACCCCCCCGACCCAGAAATGGATTAAGGGGAAGAAAATGGATGGATGGATGGCTTAAAACTGTACACACTAACCACTTGCCTATAGTCTTCATAATACTTTTGTTTGCAGTGCAGTGTTTTCTTTATTTGCATGGACTTATAGGATGGCAGAAGCGAGTGAAGGGCTGTAGACAGTAGCCACACCCCCCCATTAGACTTAGCCCTTACCATTGGACACAACCTACAGATCGATCTACATACACTTTTCCTAAGAATGGAAGTAAGTAGTATAGTAGAACACTGATGTGACATGTGTGTTTCCCTTACTTATCACTGCTTTCTGTTAGCGGGGAAAATATTAGTTAAAGTCTGAGTTAATTATGTGTATTGACCCCTGAGCTCCTGCTGCAGGCTCTTCCATAGACAATGGCTGTAATACTAGAAAGACACCTTCTCTCCAAGTTTGTGTGTTGACTTGAAATGACTGGGAGCCTGCTGCCGGATGAATTCAGGTTTGTAATGTAAAAGCAGAATGGTTTTGGGCCTCCTGCACTGGAACTCATCTAAACATTCATCGGATTAGCGCTCGTGGCTATTTCTCACCATTTTCAATACAAACAACTTGCAGTATGCGCACCAGCCATCGTGAGAATATTTTTCCATCACTTTTGAACCACCGAATGGACAGTGTACCACACAGGGAATGTGTAAAGACCACAGTGACCCCTGCTGGCCAGGTCAAACTGCTGCTCAGCACAGAGACGAGAGGAGAGAGGGCAGAGATGTGATGGTGCACTTTTCAAATGGTGTTTGCAGAAGGGGTCAGCCAGGTCACACACACTTTATTGGAATCAGGGAACTGCTGTTTAATGTGTTGTATTAATTTATGAGGCTGTGTGATTTATTCTGGGAACGTTGACATTTGCTCCATCTTATGTCGGAAAGGAATGTGAGTGTGCATATAC